GTCGGCTCGGAGTCAGTATAATGTGTCTGAGTGGGGTATTCATGCTTCACTGCGGCATGGTAACTCAGTGGGCTAGCACTATAAAACCAGCTTCAGTCTGGGCTAGTACAAGCAGCCGCACATACACATACACACGCATGCACGTCGTCATATGAGCGAAATATTCTCAAGTACGACGTTAAACCCAATTTCACCTCATCTAAAGTTACCCAATGTCTAATATATACACCAACTACCCTGAAAGAATAAGAATAATAATAGCGAGGAGATAAACACATCTCCGATCCCTATAATCTGTTTTCGTAAACTATGTGTAATTGGTGATTTTAAATTCGAAACGGGAATGGGTATTGCTATTTGCTGCAGACACGAATGTCAGCCTGAACAGGTCCAGATTTTAACCTTTACCTGGAGGTTTGTTTTATCACAGGAAGCAGTTGAGTTTAGTGATAATTTATTTTTAGGTTAGCAATAATAACGTAAAATGAAATATGGACATTCTGCATCAATTCTCTAGTATAGTGTATGTTATATAAACGACATCCCTAATCGTAGGAAATCGGGCAGGACAATGCATATTTTTACACACGCAGTAAAATGATATCGCGGGCGCAAGCCTAATGAATGATTGCTTCGCTCAACGCTTATTCCCCTTTTCACTATGACCTAGTACTGCCGCTAGCATTGTGGGTGTTATACAGGTTGGCCTGTTTTAACACAGTGCAGTGCACAGTGACAACACAGGAAGACTCATTCGTCACCACTCGCCCCTTTCCGTAACCTCTTGATGAGCTAAGACATACTTTTTATTCAGCAATTCCAGCAATATCACGGCAGGAGACACCAGAAATGGGCTTCATACATTGTGCCCCTGTAGGGAATCGAACCCGGATCTTTGGTGTGACACGCTAATCCAACTAACCACTAGGCTACCCCACGCCCCATAATCTAAAAGAAAAAATCCTGGGTACTTTCGTCGCTGAAACAAAAATTTAGACAGAGCTTTTCGCTCTTCAAGATCTGTCTGTAACTTTATACCGAGGGTCTAAAATTCAAGTCTATACAACATGCAAACATTGGCAGTACTGCTAAAATCACGTGAGTGTACAGGAGACACCCGTCAGTCAAAAGTCCGTTCAACCCCATGGATGCCAGAGGGACACATGCATGTTACTCCTCTTCAACCCTGACTTTAAAAAGTTGCATAAGATTCAAAATACATCAGGCTCGCAAATATACCTTACTATTTTATATTTCCTGATATCACCCACTGCCGTGTTAGGCAAAGCGAATTTGTTGAAAATCAGGTAATCAAAAAACTCTCGTCGGTGTTCTATTATAAATGTACATATTTACTCGGAGTATTGGATTTAAAAAGTCCCAGCATATTAGTGGTCTCTCATACCTGTTTTGTTTTGTCAAAGTCGAAGTCAAAAGACGTCTTAAAGTTTATTGTACAAAAAGCATTCGGTCCTTAAGCAAGAGAAATTATGTATATCGTTTGTAGAGTGTAACATATAATCCTTGGAATTTCCGATTTATAAGGAAGCAAATAGATGACCCCGACGACCCACTGAGATGAAATTCAGTTATGATATGCTCAATGAAGAAATGTTGAAATCCAACGTCATTTAAAACATGGATAGGGGTCACGTTGGTTTCGTGGTATTAAAATCATTTAATTGAATGTAAGTAAGTGAGGTTCTGCGTTTTAATCAAAACATTATTTTTAGTATGCTTTCGTTTCCATGGAAATTCAAAGAAAATTTAAGTATTTCGCATTTCTCAACAAAGTTTAATTCGAAGAGTGTGGACATGTTTAAGGTAAAAGTGCACACCCACCCGCTCTGACTGGGTTCGGTATCCCGGCCGTTTCTTGTTTCGAGGGGGGCAAAACCCAAGTACAAAATATTGCTTTCATAGTCATGAAATTTAGTTCGAAGAATGTGGACATGTTTATCATGTAAAATGACTAACGAGTGCCTGGTCAGGTAAAAGCTACCCGAGTACCCGAGTCCAGAACTCCTGACCCGTGACGATCCGGGTTAGAATTGGTCTTCAGTAACCCATGCTTGTTGTAAGAGGTGACTTATGGGATCGGTTGGTCAGGCTCGCTGACTTGCTTGACACATGTCATCGTATCCCAATGATCGATGCTCATGATGTTGATGATTGGATTGTCTGGTCCAGATTCGATTATTTAAAGACTGCTGCCATATAGCTGGCATATTAGTTACCTGAGTGAGGCGTTAAGCAACAAACCAACAAGAAAATAAGAAAAAGGAAAGTACAGTAAAGGTTGACGTGGCAGATTAGTGACTGTATAGTCCATGTATGGTTTGTATTATTATCTATAACTGCGTAATGTACAAACATAGTCTCAATTTCCACACAGGAGTGTCCCCGGCTAGAATCAGACTTGTTAACCCCTTCATCATCCATGTGGTAAGGATATCATTCACATTATCTTGTTCTGTATTTACATTTTCGAAACAGACCAGCGGTTTGTTTGAAGAGGAAGTTTCTCTTTGAAGTCTCGCACACAGAAATAGCTCTCACGATCAGCTGTTTGAGAAAAATACGGAATTTCAATTTTTTATTCCGTAATGTTCAGCAGCTTGTTTGAACGGGGTATGCTCTGTAAGTCGCTCACATATTAGGCAGTATATATTGTGTCCGTTCTCAATTTCCCTTCACCTTTTGAAACAATATCGTCGTACAGTTCTTTTTCGTTGCACGATAATAGAAATTTACTGTGTTTATACTCATAACTAAATCTCGGAAACCACATTGTTTTATCAGCCGGTTTAATAAGTGCAGTTACATTTACACCATGATTACTTATATAGTCAAACGCTAACTACTTCACGTATCGATACGTACATTCCGTTATTCTCCATAACACCCTGGAGCGATGGGGTAGCCTAGCCGTTAAAGCGTCACGCCGAAGGCCCGTGTTCGATTCCCCACATGGGCACAATGTGTGAAGCCCATTTCTGGTGTCCCCGCCGTGATGTTGCTGGAATATTGCTAAAATCGGCGTAACACCAGACTCACTCACTCACTCACAACTCCCTAGTTTAGAGTCACAGATGTCAGCAATATAAAATGCCAGGATGAAATGAAGCGAAATAAACTAGATGTTGAAAAGGACGCCATGCTCGGAGAAGTGAACTTGTGTGAAATACTACTAATAACAAAGCAAAATTCAGTTTTTTACTTTGTAGCAATAGCGAGATTCGTTCGTCTTTTCAGCACATCAGATCAATTATCTAAGAATATGCATGGGAATAGTGTCGTATCAAGAATTAGGCTGGACAAATTGATAGATCTTATTGATTTCAATAATTACAGAAATTGTCAACAATCCATGATGCAAAATCTCGCACTACGACGACGACTTATACCATTCTGCATTTTGACTAATCCTCCTGGTTACAATAGAAAACATTTAAACAAAAGTATATACATAGATTTCTGGGAACTTTTAAACTGCCGTGCAAGAGCAAGTATTCAATCTTAGTAATTAACAGAAAATGAATTAAACTGAAACTGGTAATTTAAGAGTCATGCATGTGGTACGGGTATCATAATTGTGTTTTGGATTCAAACCTTGCAGTGTTTCGGCCAATGTTTTCCGCCTAGTAACGTTTTGTCAAAAAACACTCTTGGTCAAATCCTACTGCCCCTTTCAAACTTCCCGGCACTTTAGAATGAAACAAAGGCAAAATATTCTACTAAACATAACACAGGGTGGAAGCGCTGTCCACGCAAAATGTGGAGTTGCCCCAAAAGCAACTCCATTTCCTCGCTGGACAGTGAAAGACGATCATGTGGCGCAAGAGTAAAGGTAAGTTTTCCCTCGCATTTTCATTATTTTGCAAGTATATCAGGTTTTGCCATTTATCAGAGGGGTCTAGAAATTTACAGATCTTTCTATAATAGCTTGACACCCTCTCTATTTATTGCAATTGTGCGTTAAGCGAGGGCACCCTCCTGAGTGTCAAAACAAGATCGCGGAAAATGATCGTTTCAACACGAAATATGACAACCTCATCAGCAGACACGCCTTTTTTGGCTGTCAATTCTTATATCTAGTTATTTTAGGCCTTCATTCACAGTTTAGGCTAAATGCGTCAGTATTTTTTCAGTTATCGTCGAAAAATCAAACTGTACAATTTATCTGGAGTTGCTCAAATTTAGCAAACAAACTGTCCATTGCGTTGTGATTTTACTGTCCAGGAGCTGACAGTTTGTAGTTTTAACCGTCATGTCATCAAACGTTATTCTAGAGATATTTGTTGTGAAGAAGATCGTTTTGTTGTAGATCTGCCTATACCTGGCGTATTTCGGATTATTTATTACGATTTTGTATGATCAAGCACGATTGTACACCAATATTGCAGTTTGTTCGACAGGGATTTAATGTAAAAAAAAACCCCAGCATGTACGATCAGAAAGAACAAATATACATCTACCCCAGGAATAACCAAGTCCTGGGCCCCGTTTCACAAAGCTCTCGTAAGCCTAAAATCTCGTAACTTTTCTTGTAGCATTCGTACTTACTATACTGTAACAATAACTTGCGATAGCGCTACGAGAGCTCTGTGAAACGGGGCCAAGGTTATTACAAAGTATGTACATTGTTCATACTATCATTCAGATATTAGCATTGCACATTCGGGTAAAGGACATCACTAAGCATCTGAAAACCAAGACACAGCTAACCAATGTTGAATGTGCGAAATCAAATACAATATGACTTCCTTTGTTCCAACCGTTGGCACCAGCGGTATGGACAAGTCAATGGCTGTTGTTAAAGCAGAAATCCAAATGACAGACGAGCAGCAGCCAGACCAGCTACAACTCCAACCACAAAGGGCCAGGAGAGCTGCAGTCAGGCACTCCTGGGTGCGGCCATGGCTCAGAGAGGAGACGGGATAACAGTTTGGACAGTTCTCCAGCCTCGTAGACACCCATTTGAAAACAACACAAGGTTAACACCACAGCTCTTCGATGAAGTCCTGCTGATGGTGGCCCCATCAATCGATTGGGAAGTCACCCGTTTCAGGCAACCTCTTTCACTGAAACTGGCAGTCACACATAGGCAGCTTGAGGCGGAAGACAACTATGGGTCCCTTGCAGGTGTGGAGTGTCCACCATCTCAGAGATGGTTCCAGAAGTGTGACAGGCAATTGTGTCTAGCCTACCTGTGACCCCTGAAGCCTGGACAGCCGTAGCTAACCAGTTTGAACAGAGATGGATATATCCCACGCCATTGGGGCCCTGGATGGCGAACACATTGCTATCAAGAAGCCACCTCAAACTTTCAGTCAATTACAAGGGCGTCTTTTCGTCACTCCTAGCTCTGATGGATGCATATTACAAGTTTGTGTGGATCGAGCTTGGTACTACCTCATGAAGCCACACAGCAGAATGATGTCCAGGAAGGAGAGGACTCTCAAGAGGGAGGATAATCGTTATGATCCTGGCCAATAGATTCAGGTGTCTCCTCATGACTCTAGGGCAGAAGCCCAAAACTGTGAAGGATATAGTGGAGGCGGCAGTGGTTCTGCACAACCTATTGAGGCTGAGGCATCCAGGCATTCCAGCACAATACGTGGGCCATGAGGATGAAAACCACCATGGCATCCCAGGCGCATGGAGGACCAAGTGGACTGGCTAGTTGTGTCCACTTGCACAAACCTCCTGCACCTCGCAGCAACATCAGCTAGAGTAAATGCTGTGGATCAGAGGGAACTCCTAAAGGCGTAGTAATTCTGATTTTCAGTACATATATGGGCGCAAGAACTCGTAACAGATCGTGAGCTTCCGTGAAAAATACTCGTATCTACTCGCATTTACTCGTATCTGCTCGTGAGTCATTCGTGTCAGGTCGTGACCAGTGGGACCAGGCAGAGCGTCACAGATCGTGGCAGATCGCAACACATCTCAACAGAGCGTGGTGTTTGTCTTGTCCACGATTGATTTCGACCACTACGATTTCTAAGCACGATTAGATGGGATATGTTATGATGCAATACTATCTATATGATCACGATTGACAATAAAATTGTGTTGATCGTAGAATTTGTTTTAGCCGTCCTAAATTGTTCTACGATCAACACAAATTGCCACGACTGACCTCAAGATGTAATAAGATTTGATAGGATTGCCACGATTAGTCCACAATTAAGACCACGATTTCAATCGTTATAGTGTGAACATTGCATTTAGGGGATCCATCACAACAACTACCGTTTCCATTGCCAAGTCTGTGGAAATATTGGTATCAACAACTGTGGAATTTCGACAGTTCATGATCAAATCCATGCAACTACATGAACAGTTACTTCAACGTAAACATTCAACGCAATGGACAGTTTCAACACAACTCCATATAAAATGTACAGTTTGATATGTCGACGATAACAGAAGAAATACTGATGCATTAATGCCTTAACTCTGAATGAAGACCTAAAATAACTATTTCTAAGAAAAAGTCGTGTCTGCTGATGAGGTTGTCATATTTCGTGTTGAAACGATCATTTTCCGCGATCTTGTTTCGACGCTCAGGAGGGTGCCCTCGCTTAAAGCACAATTACAATAAATAGAGAGGGTATCAAGCTATTATAGAAAGATCTGTAAATTTCTAGTCCCCTCTGATAAATGGCAAAACCTGATATACTTGCAAAATAATGAAATGCGAGGGAAAACTTACCATTACTCTTGCGCCACATGTTCGTCTTTCACTGTTCAGCGAGGAAATGGAGTTGCTTTTGGGACAACTCCAACAACAAATTGGGATGATACTGAGAACCCAATTGGTGGTACCTGTGTTGTCTCAATGGTGTGGAAGTCAGAGATGACACGTGGATGGGCTTCGGTACCTTTTATTCTGGTTCTGGACACGCCACGAGGGTTTACACTGATTGCATATAAAAGCGAGACGGGCATTATCACGTGAAATATACATTATAAATTTGGAGCAATAGCGAAACGAAATAATATCAACATATTATAGTACGCATGACACACGAGTGCTGGAAAGGCAAGGTGAGTGTTGCCCTGAACAAACATGCATGGAGTAAGTGAGTGAGTGAGTTTAGTTTTAGGCCGCACTAGGCAATATTCCAGCTATATGGCGACGGTTTGTAAATAATCAAGTCTGGACCAGACAATCCAGTAATCAACAGCATGAGCATCGATCTGCGCAACTTGGAACCGATGACATGTGTCAACCAAGTCAGCGAGCCTGACCACCCAATTAGGCGCCTCTTACGACAAGCATGGGTTACTGATGATCAATATTGTAACCCGTACAGTCACGGGTAAACATGCATGGAAACATTTCGAAAACTGCCTTGCTAAGTCTGGAATGCTGTATCCAATCACAAAACTATTGAGCAAGATTCGTAATACACTCAAATCTGCATTGAAAGTGCATGCTCGACTGTATCGTTAAGTTCTGAAATGTAGACCCCAAAGGCTGGAGTTGCAGGAATATTGCTCGACAAAAAGAACGTTCACTGGTAGAACGTTGGAGTTATTCCTCTTGTCTTACAGTCTTCTTGATATGAGGCACATGAAACAGCGTAACTGACTGGTGTTTTATGTTGACGAATGTTATATCACCGCTTATTTAGTTTAAATACAAACTATGAGCTGATGTTCTATTTGACATAAGGGATCAGGTATTTAATATTCTGGGGTGCATCCGTGGGGTCACTGGGATCCTTTGCTGGAAATTCGTTCAGAAAAAGATCTGACAATCAATTTGTCCTCATCTTTGATATGGTGGAGAGGCCAAGAATGTTTAATGGGTTTATTTAACAAACTGCTCAAGCGTCTCTAAACGATTGCTTTTGCATGATCAATTTACAAGAAGGCATTCCGAATGTCAATCAATAAGTCCAGGTGCTAAAGCTCCTCTAGTGATGTGGTAGAAGTATTAGATGTACTCATGAAGATGTAAATGTGAATGTTTTCATCTATCTAGCTATCTAGCTATCTGGACCCGTGAAGGTCCGGGTTAGAATATTGATCTTCAGTAACCCATGCTTGCCGTAAGAGGCGACTAACGGGATCGGTTCACACATGTCATCAGTTCCCATTTGCGCAGATCGATGCTCATGCTGTTGATCATTAGATTGTCTGGTCCAGACTGGATTATTTACAGACCGCCGCCATATAGCTGGAATATTGCTGAGTGCGGCGTAAAACTAAACTCACTCACTATCTATATGGAAAAACGTATATAGCGCTATATCCAGAATAAACTGCCCTGCAGCGCTTGAGACTCTGACGGAAAGTTAGTTGTTGTATGCTTCACAGAAGTAGTCATTTTTAGCTGTGATTTGAATGAGTCCAGGTCGTGGTTTGATCTCAAATGTTGTGGGAGTTCAATCCACAAATTTGGTCCGGCAATTTGAAAACAACGGCTGGTGATGTGCCACTGCAGGTGGCTGAAGGTGAAACAGGTGAGAGGATCGAAGAGATCTGACAGGTTGCTATCTGCATGCATGGTTATAATGTGAATGTTTTCACCTCAGCAAAGCAATAGTTTAGATGGCTGTTGGGACATCAGTGTTTGTCATACACGTGTGTATATTGCGCGATACACAAATAAATATACGCAAGGCATAGCAGTTAGCTTCGACATAATAACTGCTTTTCGAAATACAGTCGAGCACCGTTGTCTCGATATTCATGGGACCAAGAAAATATATCGAGTTATCCGAACTTCGAGACATCCGACCGGGGCATATTATCACATATAACTATGAAAGAAAACAAAACAAAAAGTAGATTTCATGTATATTTATTTGTATATACATGTTTACTCAGAGGGATCGCGATCGAACACGATACAGATCATGTTACAGTGTTTATCTTGAATGATACAAAAGTTCTTCGTCTCAATCTTGCTTACTGTCAGCTTTCTCTGTTTAGGGGCGGTGGGGTAACCTAGTAGTTAAAGCGTTAGCTCGTCACGCCGAAGACCCGGGTTCGAATCCCCACATGGGTACAATGTGTGAAGCCCATTTTCTGGTGTTCCCCGCCGTGATGTTGCTGGGATATTGCTAAAAGCGGCGTAAAGCCAAACTCAGTCAGTCAGGCTTTCCAGTAACAATTATCATTCTTTAATTACTGGAACAGTTTGAGGATAACATGTCACTTATGAATCTGTTTTTCACATTATATAACCATCCATATATTCTACGAAAACTGACTTAACACAGGTTCACACCTAAGAATATATTAAGACAACAAATATCATTCTTTACTATAACAGTTTGAGGAAAACATGTCACTTATCGATCTGTATTCACATTGTTTAACCATCAATATATTGAACCAAAAGTGTGACAGGTTCACACAAGAATATATTAAGAAATAGGCTTATTAAAGATCCTCTTTAAAGTTTTGTTTTTCTTTGCTGTAATAAAATGTTCTTTCCTGAAAGACTTACCATTGCTTGAAAGATTGTTACGGAAAAGATAAACATCAACTGAAATTACATTATGAGAAAATTAATGCTCCCTGACAACATTTGCACTTTACAAGTTTTAAATGTTCCAACATTCAAATGCAATCGTAAAACAGTTTTTGCAATATTGTACATATAAATGCTTAAGTAGTGTTACTTCAGTATACTAGCACAAACTTACTACTGTTTTCTTTTCATATTATGTAACGTGATCCTGTTTTCTAACTGAAGCCAGAAAATGATGGATTTGAATTGAAATTGCTGTTATTAGTCGTAATATCTATGGACATAAGCATTGAAGATGTGGTGCTCCAGTTATTTGTGATTGTGTTATCTTGTGACATTTTCATATAATGTCACTGGCCGAACAACCGTTGTCACATCCTTATGTTGAGTTAAACTGAAAAATTAGAATGTAATTGTGTTTTCAAAATTGTAATATCACTGCTCGAAAGGAAACGTGGACTGTTTTGGTGAACTGGTGACAAGTATAACCTTCTACATCTATACTGACATCGTTGTTGAGGACGATCTCTTCGGTGTTGAGTCTTAAATGTTCACAAATATATACAAGATGTATGAAATGTAATCACAGAAAGATTGTTAGCAACCCCAAAAAATATGTGAAATTTAATTGGCGCTGATACTTGCTCATCTGGGAACAATTTTGTTGTCTCCCCGTTGTTCTGAACTGCCATAAAACCTTGCATTGTAGACTTTACCTGGTCAGTCTACATTGCAGTCAGTGATAATGTACTAGTGGAGGACCAACCCTACTGCTCAGGGAGACACCGTGAGCCAAGCACGCACTGTTATGGGTATACGTTTACAATCAATTGCACCTGAACAGTTGGGGATCCTCATGTTTCCAGGAAGCGGTCAGTGACATATTTCAGCTCATCCTTTGGAAATTTCACTCCAACGCCGAAGATCATCACATATACCACCTGTGCGAAAACATTATTGTGGTTCTTCGCACAATGCCTCATAAACGTTTATCTTGTCATGTGAAAACTCACACGATCTCTGAATGAAATGAACCATGTCAAATTACAGATACACAACGACAGCTACACAGAAGTACCCTCGGGCTACCTGCTACAGGAGAGCGCCAGAGCAGGCAACCCTAGAAGCCTACTGGCGCCCGGGCTGCGTGAGCTGACAGCGCAACGCGAATCACAGACTGCGTGAACTAAGAGAGTGTGTAGGGATGGTATAGGCTCAAGTTTAGGCATGCCGATCCCCATTCTCTATAAACCACAGAACACAATGTTTATTGAACATACAAGGTGAACGACAAACACTGATACTTGGAAGCTTCAAGTCTGGCGAGACTTCGCGATCCGACCTGTGTGCTGAGCAAAGCTAGGGTCCCAGGGAGGACAGTCCATCCAGGTCCTGAGCCTGCACATCTTGAAGACTCCTTACAGACGCAAGGGAAGAAATACAGAATTACATAGGGGCTGTGACAGGAGTTGGTTCTTGGCTATGAAATCCATGAGAAGATCCAAACGAACACCGCCATGAGCCTTCCTCTCAAATTTGACCTGTGTGGCATCAGTGGCGTAAATCTCAGATGATCGAGCCGATGCTGCTAAGGCCAAAAGGAACACCGAGTTCATCGTAAGATGACGGCGAGTAGCATCTTCAAGTGGTTCGAATGGTTCACCTGCCAAGTAGGTGATAACTGCCAAGATGGAGGCCGAAACCTGTCTACCTGGTCTTCCTGACGGAACTTGTTGAGGATAGCTTTAAGCTCAGCGGCCCTCATAAGAGAGGTGCCAGCTTTAGAGAACACAGAACCCACGGGAGAGAGAGGTGGGTGATCGTGGTGGCTTTGAAATTTCTTTTGTTCAGGAGAAAAAGAGGAAGTCTGCAACTTGAGCAACCGAAGCCGAGGAGGCAACGATCTGCCGAGACTGACAGTAAGTAAAAAATGAAGCCCACTGCTTGTCATAGAGCGTCATAGTGCAAGTCCTATGTGGAATGGAAACTTCTTTTAATATGAGGCATACGTGCAGAGCAAACCAATCTGGCCCTGGGTGAAGTATCCTCGTGTGCGGGTTCCACAGAAGATCCACTCGATCTGGCAGAGGTAGAGGTGGACCGCTTGTCAGTTCTGTTAGCGCCACAAACCACTGGAAGCGCAGGCCAGAGTGGCTCTACCAGACGCAGTCGAAGAAAATTGGTGGACTGAATCATCTCCACTACTTTCAGCATGAGACCTAGGGGAGGAAATGCGTAAGCATCCAACCCTTCCCAGCTGACTGCAAGAGCGTCCAGATCCCACGCCAGAGGGTCCGAGACTGGAGTGATGAACGTCTCTAGCTGCTTGTTGTGCCAGATCTATGATGGGTCGACCATCTCGATCTGGTCGAGAGAGGGCGTCTGCCAGAACGTTGGTTACACCTGGGATGTGACGCGGTTTCAGGTGGATTCTGAACACGTCCGCGGTAGCGAATAGATGGAAGATCAGGGTCAGTAGATACGCCGACCTCATTGAGCCCTGTTTGTTGATGACTGCCGCAAACTGTCGCACTGTCGGTTGCGACCATCACTTGCTTGTCTGCCAACTGAAGTTTCAAACGATCTAAAGCTAGGATCACTGCTAGAAACTCCAGGTTGTTGATGTGAAGACCTTGTTGTTCTACCGACCACAACCTGGCTGATGTCGCCCGTCCAAATGAGCACCACACCCTTGGAAGGATCCGTCCACGAAAAGATGGTGAGTAGTGTCGAATGGCGTCAGGAGACGCCGCTTAGGACATTCGATGTTTAGGGCCACCATTCTAGGTACTGGTGGAGATCTGAACGAAAACGTCCTTTGGCTCTGACCCACGGAGTCAGAAACCTCTGAAGTGGTCTGAGCATCAGGCGTCCTCGGGACGTCAGATCCTCAGCAGAGGTGAGAAAGCGTATTAGGCGTTGCCACTCTCTCAACCTAAAGGAGGTGCGAAGAACTTGCTGGATCAGGGGTTGGTAGGCATGAAACCTCTCAAGTGGAACTAACAGACGATCGAGGTCCGTCCGGAAGTGACCACCGTTGAAGACGAGTGACTGGAACGGAGTGAGGTCCGACTTGTCCAAGTTGACGAGCCATCACAGTCAATGAAAAAGGCTGATGACAAAGTCTCTGTCTGACAAGCAGCCGTGAACAAAGTCGCGCCACAAATCCGTCGTTGAGGTACATATCCAAGAGGATGCTGACCTCGTGCATATAGCGCCTTACGGATTGCGTCACCCTGAAAAAATATACAGGACCTGACAGATTCCGAATAGCAGCACCTTCCACTAGTAGTGCCGTCCTTGAAAAATGAATCTCAGGAATTTGCGATGTGGTGGGAAGATCGGAATGTGCAGGTAGGCATCCTGAAGGTCTAAGGAGAACATGAAGTCGCCCTTCTGCACCAAAATTCTCAGCTGAGGCAGCGTGAGAAACCTGAAGTACAGCGAGTTGTCCACGTACATGGCAGCACCTTCCACTGGTAGTGGCGTCCTTGACCAGGCCTGGCGCTGATGTGAAAGCTGGCGCCGCTCCGACGACTAGCACCGATCCCAAGCCTGACGCTGATCCGAAGGCGTGAGTCTCGACTGTTGTTGCTGGCGCTTTTGACCACCCTGAGGTAGGCTATAAACTCCTGATCCGCACTCAGGGCACTTATCCACCTTGGTGCACCTTGTGGATCCTTTCCACTCTTAGGGGAGAGGACAGCTGTCACACTTGGTGGTAAACACCAACTGTGCCTCCGACTCTGAAGGCTCAAGCAGCAGGTCCGCCATCTTGACTAAGCACCCAGCACTGGTCTGACGACTGGTAAAACAAACTGATCAAAATATACGCAATGACAGAAAACACGAAATCAATGCCAAACTATATATATGTTGTGTAACAATCAAATAGTGAAACACAACCTCAATGAATTAGGCTTTGAAAGAGTAAACACTGAAACAATATCAGAGACAATCGTAATACAACCTCTCAGCGAAAAGCTTTGAATAAGAAATGATGAGTTTCCGCTAATGCGCAGTGCACACAAATGATAGAAGCTACAAGTGATAACACTTGTTATTCAGTGGAACATAGAACATATATTGCTTGAACTAGAAGGAAAATGTATTGGCTGTGAAGCAGAGTAAGTTAAAATATATACTTTTACTTATGTCCACTTACACCATAATTACTCACGTAAGCAAATGCGTTCATATGCCACTGAAAGTAAATTACTTATGTAAGTATAAATACATACGTGAATAAACGTGTCCATGTGAATTGGGCTTAAATTAAATAATTCCATATCACAATAACTTTTGCCTCCTGGTATATATTAAGAGCGTTAATATCACATTCATTATGATGATTGACATCATCCAGCAGTCCTGGAGCTATATGATTCAACGCTCCCAGATCAGTTGAAAGGGGGTAAAATTACTTCTCACCAGGCCCCTAGCTGAAAGTGTTATATTTAGGACTTACACAATATTTATATCTGCCAAATGCACCCCAATTACACGTATATCCACAGCAGCCTGTCATGGCTTTTAAGTAAAATATGTATGCTTCAGACGCCGTGTAAGACCGCATACATATATACTTGATAGGCTTAGCTATGGCAGCTTCTGTTGAAGATGAATGTTATGATTATATGCTCCAACTACCCCAGTGTCAGAACATGGTATTTTCCTAATTATAGCCTTACCAGCATTCGAACCATGTTAATTGGCAGAAATACTGGAAGTGTACATGTCTTAAGTTTGTTAATCACTGGATTGTCTGGTCCAGACTCGATTATTAACAGACCACCGCCATATAGCTGGAATATTGCTGCGTGTGGCGTAAAACTAAACTCACTCACTCAGAATAACACTAAATGACTGTTTTCTCACCAGAACGTACGTTCGTCCACCATGACCTGCATCGCATGCTACTGCTCTGTCGGAAGGATTGAGATCCTTGTTGAAATCCACTCCAAACTTCTGGTTGAGGTATTGAATACACATTGATGTGTCCGCCACGTCCAGCCCATTGTATGTTAGATAGGAAATTTGCCTTTTGATGAACGCACCCTCTCATGGACCATCTGTGTGAAGGATTGCAGAACAAGTTTAAAAAAATACATTTTAGTGACGTCGGACTTGGATAGTGAGGACATTTGAAACATACGTCGAAAGAAGGATCTATCCGTTTAGATGTCACATTCATTCTATGATATTCTGTGTGGAAGATGAAAGGTCAAATTTAGAGCCAGAATGAACATTTGTATTTTTAATCATTGGATTGATAGGAAATCTAAAAGAAACGAAAATGTCACAGATGACAAGAGGGTGACATTTTTCCTTCAGTTGATCCATCATATTCCTATATTTTACTAAGTTAATATCCATGAACAAAATAGTCTTTATATCACTCATTGTCCTCCTGTGGTGGTACGTCAGTCCCGAAACATTCAAGGTAAATAAAACGTTTTAAAATGCAGTATTTTTGTGTTTATAAGTTATGGCTAAATTTACCTACAATCACCAGCGGCTGAGGGATGATATGAATCCGCCTAGGGTCCATGCAGGTAGCTAAAGTACTATACGTCCCCATGGTATCTAGTAATTGTGATCTACCTTCAGTTGCTGGTGATCTATAGCCCGTTTTATATTGTATTGTCTTGCATCACAGTATAAGTTTTTGGTTACATGCCAGTTATATATCTCTATCTGTGATACATTAGTAGTTTTACTGTTCTTCGTAAATAGTTTTATAGCTTCTAATATTATTGATCTTTAATGATAACTAATTGTTCTCGTCACGATATGGCTGAAATATTGCCGATGTGACGATAAATATTAACTCACTCACTCACTCACTCACACTTTATGTCTCTCATTACAAAACTGTGGTGAGCAAAGAAGTGAAAATGTTTAACATTGGAACTTCATCTCAGTTCCTTGCCCAAGTTTGGGAATATTCAGACATGTTCACTCTTTGACTTAGTTGCTGTGTGACCCAGTGCAATTTTCGCTCACCTCACCTCACATGCAATTTCTAAATGGGAAAAGAGAAAAAGACTATCAACCAATTCTCTCCGTTCCTTCAGCGGACGATTAATCTTAAAGTAATAATTGTAGGAGAAAATTTATATCTTTTGAAAATACCACAAAAATATCAAGATTCTTTCTCGAATACCACACAGAATAGCAAGATTGACAATGATTTCTTACATTCCTCTATGGTTGTTGCAAAAGACAAATCATGATATATCGTATAATAACTATTACTAACAGCGACATGAAACAACCCTCCCTCCCTCTCACCTACCTGGTAGGGTATCGCTATACGGTGACAAGCTGGGGCAATAAACACCTCTACTGATCTGATGAAGGATCACTGTATCTCGTGGATAATTCTTTGCCTTTGGCCCTCTGCACAATAACATAATAGATCAATGTACTGCATTTGGTTGGATTTTTAATTTGTTTTCAGATATCATTTACATATACTAAGCAGAAAATAAACGTCAGTTTGGAAATTTCCTCCGCAGAAACAGATAACTGTAAACTCATTTAATGTTTTGATTGACGTATATTTTGACATCTCCAACTGTACCTGAACAAAGACATTCCTTCCCAAACTCAGAATGGAACCCAGGAAATGGTCTCAAAAACGCAACCTGATCTCGGACATGGTACGGTGTTTTTCCATGTTTTTCATGCAACTCATGTTGCACGTGCTGTTCACAAGGACCAGTCACATTACAACGTCAGCAGGATGCCGCGACTCACGACAGCTCAAAGGAACCAGGCACCTCCGACAGCATACAACATTTTTTGTGATGTGTCCATGGCGTTAAATCCCTTCATGAAAGTCTCCATTGCTGGTGATCTGTTAGCTGAATGTGCAAGTCGCTGTCGAAATGCTCATGCAAAAACACCCATCCCGACAACAGACAATTCTAGGTCAGGCTGAAAAGGGGAACAAGTGCTGAGCAACAAATCTCAATTAGTAGTATGGAATGTGCAGGCAGAAAACTGGTAGCGGAGAACGGGAGATATATTTGTGAGAAGTGTGTTATTCATAACTTTGAAACGGAAACGTCGCGATATAATAAATGTAAATCCTCTAGATATATAAACTCTGTCTACAGTTAAAATTGTTGCAGTTGTCAAGAGCTGGCAAAATGTGAAGGAACATTCATCGTTTCATTTTACGCTTACTTGCGTCTCATGTTCCAGTCACATATACCTGCTTGTCAAGACAGCTTAAACGCCATGACCAAGACTTCACTTGAGCCACCAGACAAAAAGTGGTCTTCAGTAAACCATGCTTGTCACCCGTGAAGATTCGGGTTAGAATTGGTCATCGTGACTAACGGCATCGGGAGGTCAGGCTCATCGTATGCCAACTGCGTAGATCGATGCTCATGTTGTTGATCACTGGATTGTCTGGTCCAGTGTCGATTATTTACTGATCGCAGCCATATAGCTGGAATACTGCTGAGTGCGGCGTAAAACTAAACTCACTCACTCTCCCATGCGTGTCGTAAGAGGCGACTAAAGGGATTGGATATTCAAGCTTGCTGACCTGGTCGAAACGCCTCATTGTATCCCAATAGCTTAGATTTACAGACCAACGCCATATAGCTGAAATATTCCTGAATGCGGCGTTAAAAAAACAAACAAACAACTTAACCGCAGACTGGTCAGATCGGTTATTGATAACGACGTATACGTGTAAATACCACCCATCAAGATAACGATCAATTCTAGGTCAGGTGGAAAAATGAATAAGTGTCAAAGAAACAATGAACATAATCAGAATCAGTTGTTGAAAGTGTGCAGTGGGAACTTATGATGTTGGCATTGCCTTGGAACACGTGCCCGATAGTGCGCGAACGGGTTTGATGTATCGAGCTCTCTGTACCCAGATGTCGAATTTTTGTTAATTATCTTACTGAAACTTTATCCCCGGATGCGCGTGTCCAATTACCGTTCAGTTGCTCACAACAATGTACATCACGTTACTGTAGACATAATTACAAATAAAGACAGGGAGCGGCTGATGACACCAGTCAGTGACCGGTCGTGAATCATTATATCATGGGCAAAACAACACGTGACAAATTACTGGTACGATTTCGATAATATATAATAGATACTGAACCCCAGGGCACGTGATGTGGAATCTTGGATCGACCACCCTAAAAGGGCTAAACACAGTTAAAAGTGTGGGTTTTACTTAATGCAAACATTTCAAATAATATTTGTTAGGACTTCTAACTGTCTCGGATTCGGTCCTGATTGATATTTCACATATGAACGTCGCATTCAGCCAAGACTGTTACGTCAGTTTTGATTGGATGTGTTGGTGTCGAAGGCAGTCCTATCCACGTGACCATGACTCGACCAGCTTAGTTAGAACGTTGGAACTAACAGAAAACACAGCGTACGAAAAGGCCGATTTTGGATTTGCCAATAAAATCATGTGACCAAACACCTGATGAAACCAAGTCTGCAAAAGCCTGTCGATGATCTGCCATCTGCTGAAATGTATTTTCACATTCAAACGCCCGTTTTGGTCACTAAGAATCAGCGCAGATCACTCAGTTGTTGTCAAAGTGCTTTATGAGCGCGTGGTCCGGCGTGTCCCTGGTACTTCCTCAACATACAACTTTGTCAACGACAAAGTGACACGTGAATGCATTGTGTTTATATCTTGATTGAATGTGACAACTTGTCTGATTATAATGGACACAATGGACAATGGTTTGACGATAACCCGAAGCAATCTAAGATCTTGAGCCAACTAAATTGTTGCTAGAATCAAGTTACCATATTTGGACAGGTACATGTAACTCAAGGTTGCTGACTTGGCTGATTGTTGTGTCATCGTAACCTCCAGTGACCAGCAGCATGAATGGCGTCTCCAAATGTCAGTTACCGTGATAATACACGTGTATTTGGCATTGGTCTAAATATACTGCTGTCAGACGTCAGTAATGAGACAAGCGAGTTCCTTATCGTTAACTGACCAATGACCAATATTTTGTTTTAAACTAAAACTCTTTCAGTTATTACAGACTAAAGCCTTTGAGTAGTGGTATCGAAGCATGGAGAGCACATCAATATTCCCTAATTCAATGTCCAACATGGGTCCTCTGTGTGAATTCTATTTCTGTCTGGGTAATTTTGAGTAAAAATATATTTGAAAAAGTGAAAAGTCAGTCTTCAATTCCGTGCCAAAATTAAATTTATAATTGATCTCAGAGATAAAATGTTTCAGAAAACCATCTGTAGTATCATGCGAATTATGTTATAATACATATTTTATTTATTTTTATTCAAAGTATTTTTGTACTGTTTAATCATGTAGATGTATTCTCAGATTGCTGATTAATATAAGCACCATTACGGTTGGTTCATATATTGGATATAGCGGTGGAGCAAATATTAATTGTATCGAAATGCAATGAAGGGGGGTGTCTGTTTCGTTTGTGTGTTTGGCCATATTTTATTGTAATTACAGACAGGCAAAAGAAGTCTCATTGCCAAAGACTTAAAGGCAGCACAATAACGATTATAACCGAAGGCTACAGAGGATGGACTCCATGGATTATTGAATGAGGACGTGCATCCATAAATTCTTGGTCACTTCGGTATGTTTACTGCCAGCCAAATGCAGTTCCGAGGCATGATGGGAACGCATCCTTCTGTCTTGTTTGAAGGTCGTTGAAAGAGAAAAGATGGGAGACAGGGTGATCTTGGAACGACAAAGATCGTGCCGTTTAGAAGATGTACGAGGGTAAGAGAAAGAAAGGGTATGAAACCTCGATTCAGGGCCATCTTCGAGATGACGGTCATTATCGGAACAGTACTCACAGACGCTTCTAACGTCAGACTGAAGGATATGAGCCAATAGAAGCCTGAATAGAACTTTCTAGAACTGCATAGTCACGCTTTATTGTCTCAACGTTCCCTGTTGCTCACAATCAGGAATCATTATGAAAAACAAACGTTGCATTTATAGATAGTTTATTCTTATATTTCACAGACACACACAGTCTACACTGAAGACCTGCTATGCAATTCATGCATATGGGTCGACTGGTGCTTTCAACAATATCGATATCACAGTTAGCAACACAATTATGTAGGCCACGATATGATCGTGGGTCGAACATCAACTGGTCATGTTTCGTGGGTCGATGAGTCCCTTACTTTTGGGTTAACAAAAGTGGTAAAATGCCATTGTGCATCACTTCTTGTTTTCTCCCACAATTTACTGACACACACTAATTGAAATACTGTTAGAAGCGACGCTAAACCATACTCATTCACTCACATCTTTCCACACAGAATGGTTATTTATAAAAATAAATCATCGCCAATGGATCTTACTTCCAAAGTCCAAGTGTAATCGCCAAAGTGCTTATGACACGAAGCATCGAAGAATGAAACGTGTGAAGTGATGGAATAATTATGCCACAAACAATCTAATAATATTTTCACATGAAATCGTAAGTGAACGAACTAGTTTCGATAAACTGTATTTAAATAGATACATGATGTTTTCAACTTATGGCTACAAAACGTTTTAACGAACGAGTCTGTGTTAGAGTATACCAAATACAATAGTCTCAATGCTGTGGACAATGGTACAGTTAAATCAGGTCTAGTCACATGGATAATTTATCAAGTTGGCAATCATCATCCGTCACAACTGATCCATATGATTTGTGATGAACTATGTTTGAATATGCGTTACGCCAACACAACAATTAAAGCTGAAGATCCGTGGGAAAAAGACAATCTGCAGTTTCTACTTGGTTGCCTCCCTTGTTCCACCGTGTGTGATGCACTGGTCCCAGTCCGGCCAGAATCTTTCCTTCATACGTTCACAGTAGGCGGCCAACATGGGGTATTTATCTGATGATAATGGGAAGGTTTGCAAATTAACCACTATTAAACACAAAATGAAAATATTGTTTATGTAAATCAGATATTTCTAATTCGCATACATTTAAAAAAAAAAATCCTTCAGAAATGTAAGTTTAAAACTTGGTTATTTGTATCACATCTGAAAGATGAAATGGTATGTAACCGGGACAATTTCGCAATAATTACGTGGAGGGTGCTAGATCACCTTTGAATCCATATGAAATTGAAAGCTTACCTTTGCAATGAAATATACATGTAATCAATCGTGTCTGCTGTACGTGTGTGGATTTTGAAGCAAACTCAACTTATGAGATTTGTTTGCCAAACGTCACGAGTGACCTACACATGAAGGCATGCATACAATGACAGCTGGCTACAATTGACGAGAATTGTTTGCCAAACGTCACGAGTGACCTACACATGAAGGCATGCATACAATGACAGCTGGCTACAATTGACAAGAATTGTTTGCCAAATGCTAACGGTGACCTACACATGAAGGCATGCATACAGTGATAGTTGGCTACAACTGTTGATAATTTTGTACCAAACGCAACTATTGACGTACATATTAAGACGCACATAAAAGAATGTTATGGCTACACCACATATATGAATAGCATAGTCACTTGCATATTATGCTTGCGAGTGCTCAGACCAGTGCACATTCAGATCACATCGCAACAATGGTAATATGTCGCGTTCAATATGCGCTATGACTACCTCATCGCAAAGCCACCTAATGGATGGAGATAGAGGAGGGATGAAGGAGAGACGTGAAATAAGGATGGCGCATCTTAAGATACTTACCCTTAATGATAGTGTCATGCCCACTTCCCAAGAAGAGCCAGTGGAACTCTGCCAGGAGACCAAACACCGCACAGTCCGTCTCACAGGGCTCGTCCCCATCAGGAACTTCTTCGACCCTGGAACAATGTGTCGACTGTTGAGTATATTGAACCATAGCAAAACAATGGATAACTTACTTCATGTAAGAACATAAAACGTTTGTAAAACATATTAACATGTGCACATTTTAATTGATGGTACGATGGCATCTTTACGCTTGAGAAGTGAACTGTCACATGATGTCTAAAACAGGTTCTCTCACAGCTAACGTGGAAAATGAACACATTGAAATAGTCATGTTGAAACTTTGAATTATGAAAGAAGAATAGAACGGTTTTGGTAATTGTTCACACGTCTTCAATACGTTGAAATGTACACTTGTGATTGTGCAAAGAAGATGTCTGTTAACGGCAAATATATGCTTGTTATTGAGACTGTTATTAGATGGAAGATGAAGTTAATTATTTGACGTTTTGTTCATTTTGTAAACACTTTCTTATTAAAACACACTACCAACTACAGGCGGCTATTTTTGTTACATATTGTATGCTATTTCCTAGATCTGAATACATCAGATGCAGGAGAAGACGAACACATACCACGACCAGTCACGATGGGATCCCTAGTCTTCATACATTTTACCTAATTCGAGACTAAATATGAAAAGAATATAGTGTTCTAAATTTGAAATATAATTGGTATTTAAAACCATCCATTGCTAATGATTTATACCCCAAATATACATTAAATGATACTTATAAACTGTATACATACGTGGATTAAAACCTTCTACATACCTATAAAGTCGGACAGGGACTGAAGACCCTTCTTCAACATCTCAATGACCTCCCCTTCTGTATGTCTGCCTAAACCTTGATTCCATAGCTGTTTTTTAGCGTATCGTCCAATACTCCACATGGTAATCTTCCCGAATTTATATGTGTTCACCAGTAAGGATTTGTCGTTGTCATATTGCCATCGGTTGAGGACGAGAATCCTGAAACGTTAGTGTCATTCATTATCATGCTTTCCTCATAAAATATACTTGAAATTGAACTGTTGATAAACCAAGGTAATCCCAGAGAACATGATGTGGTGAAAGTGTTAAAGAACACCCGCAATTGGTAGCAAGTGTGCTGTTAAACAGACCAGTCAAGACAGATTAATCGTTGTAATGTAAAAAATAGGTTTTCATGTAGTTCTGTTGAGCAGGATAAGTTAAAATTTTAAACTGATTTAATTGGAGAGTTTCGCCATGAAACGCCGTGCGCTGTCGTCGTGATGGCCCCATTAATACACTCCTCAAATGGGTCATAAAGCAATCCTTTAGGTTTCGATGTAATTCTTGGATTTTTAAAACAATCATCCGCATCTGGACAATACCATGTTTAAGTGAATAGTCAGAATCAATCGTTCTGTTCACAGGAAAAATTTAAAATGAGACAGGAAAACTTATATTCGCTCTTTTATAAAGAAATAACCCCACTTCACCATGACTTATCCATCGCCATCTCTTCCATTTGTAAAGATCGGATTGTGGTATTGTTATCTCGTGTTATCGTCCAGTGTTATCGCCTTCTTGCAGCTGACATGGATGGCGATGAAACAGTGTTTATTAACAGCCGCAATAACTTCTGACTTCGAGAAGGACAGTTATTTTATTATGGGACGCAAGGAAGTACAACAATAAGCAAAAGTATGAAAGAAATACAACCCAATGAAATTTCTTTGATGGGCATTTTAGAAGTTGAGTTGATGAAGAATAATGACAATTGTTATGGATATACAACTTCTTTTAATCTGTGGAGGCGACGTTTCGACATAGGTTCTAATGTCGTTGCTAACGTCGCCTCCACAGAATAAAAGAAGTTGTATATCCATAATAATTATCATTATTCTTCAACTCAATGAAATGTTATTACTCGTCGTTAAGTTTTATGATTTATCCTTATACGTCTCAAATGTTCCAAGAAGGTTGTGGTGATGAGCTTATTTAAAATTGAGTGGAATCTATGAGATTACTGGAGACAACGTAGACAGGACTACCCGGAGCTGAATAGCACTAAATTCTCACCAGTACAGATATTCTTCCACCATGACCTGCATTGCCTGAGCAACTCCTCTGTCAGCAGGACTCAGATTCCTGTTGAGGTCGACCCCAAACTTCTTGTTGAGGAATTTGATAGCCAGTGTTGTGTCTGAAATCTCCTTCCCATTGAACTCTATCCAGGGGTTTTGCTTTTAGATGACATCTCGAAACTATGGACGTTCTTTGTGGAAAACAACACAGATCAACATTAGAACAAGTACGAAACAATTTGTGTTGATGAAAAGCTCGTTTGATAAAATGTCTGACATGGATTATGAAAAACCCCCGAAGCAACCAAATTAATGTCAAGGTGAGATATTACTGATTACGAGATTGGAACTTATCATTTAATTACATTTCCTGTAATTCAGCAGTATGCACTGAGTTCATATCCCAGATCAAAATGACTTGAGAAAATGAGCAAATCCAACAAATGACGGTGACAAACTTTCAAACCCTTCAGACATGTTTGCTCGTTGTTTGTGCTGGTGCAGATGACACTGCTGCCCAATAATGGCGTGAACTAAAATGAATTGGGCACAAACGAAAATACATGATATGATATAAGCTAGCCAACTGTCGCTGTTTGAAAACGTTCATTTTCTTTCTGCAAAGGGAGACGAAAATGATCACTTCTTTCTTACAACACAGTTTAGTTCAGGATAGTAGAGCTGGTCCTCCTGGGAACAAAGTAATTCAAAGTAAAACGTACATACCACGGGAATACCAAGGCGGAGACATGGGTTCAGTTCAAAATGTCTACATGTTTGGAATAAAACCTACTTTGGCTTTTTTTTGAGTACAGTGTGTGAATCTGCTGATTCAGTGTGTGCAACAGGGACATGAATCATTGCTTGTTGTCGGCCACCTTGTTTCTTTGACCAAAGTCGATTTTGTGTCGTGACATAATTGAAACATGGCTAAATGCAGCATGAAACATTCACTCTCCCACATACCTGGTAAGGTATCTTGGCCATTCGAACGTATGTCTCAAGCTTTATACAAAATGGCGACATGCTTGGGGCATAGTGGCCTCTACCCATCTGACGAACGATCACTATGTCACGGGGTACTCCTTTTGCCTTTCTGTACAAATTTAAAACATCAATGTAGAGCTGGAGGTTGTAAATTCAAAATTGTCACACCTCGATAACGTAAACTTTAGAAAAATCTTTAAGCATTATGATTAGATCCTTGTGGGCACATACTGAACAAATTGATTTTCGTTGCTATTGAAGCTGACATGCTTCCCCTAATGTTTCACCTAACTAATTCTCGTATTCCAGTAATTTGATTCAAAAAGTCAGTTCCTATTGTAGGCTTACTTTGATATATACTGTCTAAATATTACTTTGTGAATCATGCGATAAACAAATCAATCACAGTCACAATGATAGGGCCGGATACAGCTTTTATAGGATGAGGATGTGGTATCACAATTATATATGCGACTATGCGATATATTCGAAAAGTAACTATGCTGAAATTTAGCTGATAGCTATCATTCGTAATTTATCAATTTACTTATATATTTAAACACGAGGGTGGTGGGTGAGAATGCGCACCCTCGACGTTCATTTCTAAATCCGCTCTTGATTGTACAAGATCTGACACTATGAGCATCAACCGCCTGAAGTATCTATTTATCACTTTTAACTTGATAACGGTGTAAGGATCTACATCGAAACGTCGTTCTATGCAATAAATAAGACGTTGTCATCCATAAAGTTGTATGTTTCATTTATTTTTAAATATTGCTGATCTGAGACAAAAATATTTACAACTAAACTTCTTTGTCTGTACAGAAGAATAGAACGTGATGCGAAGCTATTGGTTGATTTAACTCAGAATGTCTTGCCATCTGATATGGTTTATTAGACAAATGAAGTCTCTTGCTGGCTCTGTGGCATTGTGTGCCAACCAGGACCGATGGTGCAACCGCAAGGAAATACAAAGTCATCGAAGCCTGAGGTCACAGAATATATCAGCTCCAGTTTGTTTTCAGCTAAATTGATATGTCAGTACGCACATACGTACAATTAGATAGCGAACTCGTTAACACAAAGCACAAATACAGGTTGATCCTATATGATACTTTCTAAGGATAAACAGAAGGATTACATTATCGGTTACATCGGTTATATTACCAATGGGCTCCCCTGACGAACGTTTAAAACCTAATAGAAGTCCTCGACATTTAAACACAAAGGGAGGTTTAACTCACTGGATACTTTCTTGGGATACCAAATTAGATGTTTCACCGGTTACATTGCCATCTAAGCTGTTTTGATAAGCCTTTCAAACGGGACAACTTACTTGTAAAACAGTTTCCTAAGAGCGACGACTGACACCACAGCTACAACACTTCCGACACCATACAACATTTTCTGTGATGTGTCCATGGCGTTAAATTCCTTCAGGAGATTCTCCATTGCTGGTGATCTGTTAGCTGAATGTGCAAGTCACTGTGCACTGCGACATGCACACGCTAAAACCACCCACCCCGATAACAGACAAATTCTAGGTCAGGTTGAAAAGGGGAATAAGTGCTGAGCCAAGCGATACTGGATTTGTCGGTCTGACAACAACAAATCTGAGTCAGAAGTATGGAATGTGCAGTCAGAAAACTGGTAGCGGAGATTGGGAGATATATTTGTTGTGTCATATGTGTCGGTCACATGTGCCTGCTTGTCAGTGCATAGCAGCTTATACTTAAGTCTCTGAAACCAAAAAATATAACCTTCAAATCCCTTTTAAAATGTGAAAGAAATCAACTGAGTTTGTATGACTGTTTGTAAAACAAGGTCAGCATTATAGACTGGTCCAATCGCGTCAGTAGCTTGTGATAACACAAGACAGATTATTGAACCGGTTTTGTAAGAAATTAGGTTCAAGCATACATTATGACAAGAGAGAAATACTGTTCTTTAGAAAAGGAGGTAAAAAGGGTGAGAAATTGTTTATGATGGGAAACAGGTTGAAAATGTGCACATATTATAATTACTTTGCATTAGTGTTTGCAAATAGGCTACGCTGGACCAAATCAAAGCAAATATAACATTAGCATCTGTTAAGATTTTTTCCTCAAGATTAAAAAAAAATTCTCCAGTAAGTTTGTTCAAAATGTTTGATACACAAGTAAAGCCATTCATCAAATATAGGCTGAATGTTTCATGTCAGATTTTGAAAATATGTGTTTGGTGCTAAAGTACTGTTGGAAATAGAAAGAAACTGTTTTTTCACATTTATATCTACAAGATAGGTAGTTAATATGTGAAAGTGTGAAATATCTTCTGAACTAAGTTCCGCCTAACTACAGTATCAGTGGTAGGGAGAAATGAAACGTTAAAAAAGGATTTTACTGAGGAGATATTAGTGCAGAAATGAGCAATGCCTTTTTTTCAGTCCGAAGAGACTTATTTGGAGCAGACCATGGCTTTATGCAAATTATTGTGCGATGAAATTGTATAACAAATCACACTTTTTTGAATGTCCATTTTGAAATTAGACTAAGCTTCAAAATTAACGATAGAAGACGTAAAAATAACAACTTTAATACTGAAACTATTAAGGATGTAGATACCATGGAGTCTCACTATCACTATAAAAGAAACAGGTAGGAGGGTCGTCTCAAAAGCATAACCAAGACGAGTGTTGCTGACGGTAGTTGGGGGTCGGGCTTGGGGATAGAGATATAAGCTAAGATTAGAAAATCAGAAGAGACATATTCAATACACATGAAAAAGCGTAAAAGCTATTTGGGATGACCCCATTGTGTCTGTGGGCGAGTACGTGCATTTCATGCCAAGTGTGTTGATGGTCTGTCGTCATACCTGGCTGAGCGACCTAATTGCCATCTATAGTCTGATCCATTGTTTTCAGCAGCTGTTCCTATTTTTCTAAGTTTTACCCGATTTTACGAGTAGACATGCTTTTGTGGATATCCTATTACGCATCCCACTGTGTGATGATGATTTTTATGGAGAAGCATGTACAATGTGAATGATCCCCCCTAAAATTTATGTACAAAGTAAGTGACCCTTCCCTGCATATCATGTACAAGACCCGTGAAGATCCGGGGTAGAATAGGTCTTCAGCAACCCATGTGCTTGCCATAAAAGGCGACTATGCTTGTCGTAAGAGACGACTAACGGGATCGGGTGGTCAGTTTCGCTGACTTGGTTGAAACATGTCATCGGTTCCCAATTGCGCAGATCGATGCTCATGCTGTTGATCACTGGAATGTCTGGTCCAGACTCGATTATTTACAGACCGCCGCCATATAACTGGGATATTGCTGAGTGCGGCGTAAAACTAAACTCACTCACTCACTCATGTACAAAACCAATGACCCTCCCTCCCAATATCTTTAAGCAACAAGTTTCAGGTATATCGTTGATCCGATATGGTTCATCAAGTAGCTAACAAAGGAGACCAGTCCAACCGCCTCATGTGTTTCATATGTAGAGTTATGCATAAAGATTCCGATAAAACTCTACACAGGACACTGGGGCGTAGGAACGGTTTTCAGAGTGGGGTGGGGTGTGGGGTGGGGTGGGGTGTAATTTTATGAGAAGTATTGAAAATGAAAATGAAATTGCAGTTATGGTAAGGTATTTATGGTTTCGTCTTGAAAAAGTGGGGACGCCACACACACACACACACACACACACACACACACACACACACACACACACACACCCTTGGGACAAACGGGATGATTTCAACTTCCGATCACGCCGAATAAGAGGTACAATCAAGCATGCTCTTTTTTCCTGTCAACGTATCTTATGTCGATCACTGGATTGTCTTGTCCTGACTTCATTATTTGCAGACTGCGGTTACACAGGTGCTGAGTAGGGCGTTAAACAAGCACAAATACACGCAAAGAAACACATGCTCATGATTTAGTCAGAATTGTGCAATCGACTCTAATGGATGTGATTTCTCATGGATGTGCTTTTTAGCCTAGTGGTTAAAGCGTTCGCTTGCCACGCTGAAGACGCGGGTTCGATTCCCCACATGGGAACTAAGCATGAAGCCCATTCCTAGTATTCCCCGCCGTGATATTGCTTGAATATTGCTAAAAGCGTCGTAAAACTAAACTCACTCACTCCAGTTGATATATTTTACGTTGATAACGAGTTTCACCTTTCTCCGTATATCATTAAGTATATCGTGTATCGATATATTTCTTGTGATTTTCGCTCACAATATTAACGTAATACAAGTGCTGAAAACCAAAGCGTTTATTTATACAAAGCAATGTTTACATTTCATGGACACACAAATGTATATCATATAATTGATATTGTATAGACATACTTACATATATTGTATAGACATACTTACATATATATAACAGAGCATTTTATTCATGTTATTGTGTGAATGAGCATGGATTATCAAAACTTTCAACATCATTCAGTATCACAGCAAGGAACACAAATGGTACATCACTGTGTCTGAGGGTTCGAATCCCAGTTTCGTCCCAGAAATGTTTCTGTTACCTGAGCTCGTTACGTTCATACAGGTGGTAGAGCGTCTATGACATGCATTGGCGGATCCAGAGGGGGTTCAGGGGTTCGACTCCCTCCTTTTCAAAATGACTTAACATGCAACTTCAAAAATCAAACATAATTAAAACACAATTATCACTTCTTCACTGACATATAATATGCATTGCTGTTTATGAAAAACAAATAAACAAAATTATAAGCGTATAATCGCAAATCAAAAGTGCAATATTTTGTACTTTGGTTTACCTCCTCAAAACGAAAGCAGCCGGGATACCGAGCCCAGTCAGAGCGGGTGGGTGTTCACTCAAGTGTAACTTTTGCTGGTTCATTAGCAGATGCCGCCTTCACACGGCTGATTGTGTGTGTATATAGAGATGTTGGGGTTTTGTAAATACATGCTCATTTTATGTATAAACATTTTGCAATCAACAAACATCTTAACATGTCATGTGTTCCATCACACCTGCCTGTCTGTGTAATTACATAATGTGACAGAGACTGAACTCGGGCCATAAATCAATGCGTTTGCGTTTTGTTTATGGTGTATAGCCCTGATTGGTGTTAAGTTCAAATTGCATGTGGTCAGTGATCGCAGTTGTGTATTGAATATTGTCATTAGCAGACAGAGCAGGCAGACACACAGGTGTCAATAAAACAAGACATTGAGTTTTTGTTTATTCAGATAGCGACATATCTTCATATCATGGCACAGTTAGAAATTGTGTCAACGCTAAATAATGACGCATTGCTTTTAAGTATCGAACTGAGAAAGTGACTAGGTAAGAAGAACGTGTGGTGAAATAGACAAAATGAAATTATATAAACAGTTAATTTACTGTCATAACATATAAAAGCTCTAGCGCCTGTGAGATATCAACAAAACATTATGAAAATAGCTCACACCAAAGCCTTCACCGAGTATTCACCAGACAGCCCAGCTTCCAAGTTGCGCGAACCTATTTCACTGCGCACGTGCTGTGAGCGCAGCCCAGCCTATTGAAACCCGTATTCCCCAGAAAAGTCTGGGGAAAATTAGTGAAACGTTTGAACTCCGATTTCGCGCTGTTTTTTTTTCATTTGCGTCATTTTTCAACTCTATAAGTTGAATTTGCATTTTGACGCTTTGTTTCCCGGTAAGTTCATACCGAAAGGTATCAGAATCTGCAAAGTTGTGTTTTTACGTTTGCATGTGACCTTTAAGTAAAAAAGTCCACATTGAACAAAAAACAACAACACACACACACCCATAATTCCTGGATCCGCCCATGACATGTACGACTTCGGACATGTTTCCCACATTGGCTGACTCCAGGTGATATGGCGGAAATACCTTTCTATGCAGTATTACAACATATTCGTTGCTGCTCCCATATCCACACGAAGATTGTATTATCAACAAATTATTCCCCCCGTCAGTTCACAAATTTTACAAAATAGGATTATGAAATTTAGGAAGTAAAACAATTTTAGATACGAGACCGAGGACAGAATAGATGGAATGACAGAGATTGTAAATAATAAGATCTTCTTGTCCTATTTACATCAGCTAAATATTGGTCCAGTTTGATGAAGCATGCCTTAAACTTCTCATTAAGTCGTATCTCTACGAACTGTTTAGCTTCTGGGGAATTATATATTTGACGATAGTTTTACGTGTATACATTTCTAAGTGTTTCTCATTACATCACATCACGCTGATTGTACACTACAATTTCTGTTTCTGTCATGAAATAAGTTACAAAGTACTATTGTTAAGAGCTGTGTTTGAATGTCCATTATGGCAACACAACTCCTTGGCCTACTACTTGGATGCCTCCTTGGTCCACCGTGTAAACCCGTATCGTGCAGCTTGATATATCTTAATAACTTCATGGCAACATAATATGCGTAAACAGGAGCTCCGTGGTTTCTACAACAGAGCGGAGAATATTGATTTGGTTGCTCCTCCCCTTGTTACACTGTATGCGTGGCACTCGTCCCCAGTCGGGCCAGAATGTGTCCTTCCATAATACCAAGCAGCAGGCAGTCAGATTCGCATTTCCATGTCAAGTAAGGAAAAAACATATGACTAAACGAAGATACCACACAATCCATACAGGTTACATATGTACGGCAGATATTGCATTGCCTGCACTTTCTCGCACGCCATGAGGCT